CTTGGCGGCGCGGGAGGGGAATCCCCGCGCGATTTCAGCGTCCGTGTCATTTTCTAAATATAGACGCGCCAGGCCCGCCGCCGCCGCCGCCCCGACCTCTCACCCCGCCGTGGGGACTTGGGAAAAGGGGAGCCCTGCAGCGGGGGGTGCAGTAGGCAGGGGGTGCACCGGGCAGGGGCCCCCGCCCCACGGCGCCCCCCGCAGCCCCGCTGCACTGGTGCAGCCACTGCAGCAGCCCCGAGGGACCCCCTGCTTCCCCTCCTGCAGCCGCGCGCCGCGGGGTCCCCTCCCACAGCCTCAGTTTCCCATCTGCAACACGGGGGAGGCCCTTCTGGGGACCCCCCCGGCCCTGTCACCACCCCCGTCTGTAGTGGGAGGCTGGCACAGGCCTGGTTGGGGTGACCCCTGTGCCCCTCCGTAGTGACACCTTGGAGGGTGCAATGGGGTCACAGTGAAGCACTCTGGGAACTTTATTCTTAAAAGTTGGTTTAGGGGGACTTGGGGGCGTGGCCAGGGTGGAGCCCCGCCCAGAATCCCCCAGTGAGGGGCTGGGGGCGTGGCCACTGGCCTAGCCGCAGAAGGCCCTGGGTTTGGCCCTGGAAGAGCTGGTAATGTCATAGAAATATCCTGGGGCGCAGTCGCGCCCACCCTGTGCGCTGTCCCTGGAGGGTCCCCGCTCCACCTCTCCCCTGCTCCAGAGCGCAGGCGCAGTCTGGGGCGGACACATAGTCAGCCCTTTCTAAAGGATGCGCGCTGTGTGTTCCTTTAAAGCTGCCTCTCTTCAGGAGTTCAAGGCCAGCCTGGGCTTCCTGGACCCTGGCTGAGAAAACCAAGCCAAAAAGAAAGTGAAACTCCTCCTTGCGGGCTGAGTTCTGCAGCTGTGGGTCTCCAGCAGGGCCGGCTGTGCCCCGGGGACAGTGCCACTTGTCACTGCGGCGGGAGTGGTTGGAAATCAGGGAGTCAGAGACATCCTGTCCCAGACTCTCACAGTGCTGGGTTGGTGACAGCAGTGTCTGCGTGCGGCCCTACCTGAGTGACCCTCGGAGGCAGCTCCAGAGCGCAGCCCACCCTCCCCCAGCCGTTTCCGGTTGTTGCCTCTCGGACATGGTGCTGTTTCTCAGTTGTTGGTGTGAAGGCTCTTATTGGTGGTCACTCCTCTCCCTCTGTGCCCCTGTGTTAGGAACAACAACAAAATATCTTTTCTGAGATAGCATCTGGATGCCAGGGTGGCCTAGAACCCACTGAGATCCCCCTGCCTCTGCCTCCGGAGTGCTGGGATTAAAGGTGTGCACCACCACCGCCCGGCTTAATTTTTATATTCAGGTTTTTTGTTTTTGTTATTGGTTTTGGTTTTTGGAGACAGGGTTTCTCTGTGTAGTTTTGGTGCCTGTCCTGGATCTCACTCCGTAGCCCAGGCTGGCCCTGAAGTCACAAAGATCCTCCTGCCTCCGCCTCACGAGTGCTGGGATTAAAGGCGTGCGCCACCACCGCCCGGCCAGTTTTTATTTCTATTTATGTGTCTTTGTGCCCCACGTGTGCAGCAGAGGCCAGAGGGGCCATCGGGTCTCCTAGATCTGGAGTTGCAGGTGATTGTGAGCCGCCACGTGGGTGCTGGGAACCGAACCTGGCGCTCTACAAGAGCAGACGGTGCTCTAGCCACTGAGCATGTCTGCAGCCACCTCAGTATTTGTTTGTTTGTTTGTTTGCTTTTGGTTTTTCGAGACAGGGTTTCTCTGTGTAGCTTTGGTGCCTGTCGTGGATCTCGCTCTGTAGCCCAGGCTGGCCTCGAACTCACAGAGATCACTTTTTATTTTTTCACAAATGAGCCATATGCTACTGGGGTACAAGTCGAGTGTCCCCCTGAGCCGCCTGCTGCGCCCCGGCATACCGTCACCTCGTTGCAGGTGTCTGCCTGCGTCTTCACAGCCCAGAGTGTTAGACACCCGTAGGGGAAACTGCGGTGCGTGACTAAGCTGTCTGTGGGCCGGGGCAGAGCCACACACACACACTGCACATGTATTGAACCTACTGTGTGCGGCCCCTTGTATGGGGAGGTGCTCAAGATGGGCTCACGTAGCCCAGGCTGGCCTTGGATTTCTGATGCTCCTGCCTCTGCGTCGCTGCTCGGATGACAGGTGTGGGCTGTGGGTCCCCAGGAGTCCCAGGGGTTTTGTGTGTTCATCGTATGTCTTTTTTTTTTTTGTAGCAAAGGAGTTTGTGTACAGTGTTGAAAATCTATGACTTCTTGTTAAATTGACATTTGTACTTCACCTTTTTCAACATTTATAATCATTACTTTATACAGATATAGAAATGTAAATACAACATCGAGTTCAGCACGCACACACTTTTTAAAATCTTCAGTAGTTTCTTATTCCTTAAAGTATGAAATGGGAGCTTTTGCATTTTTGAATCGCGGTATCTCTTGGTCTGATTCCTTGCGGTGTGGCTCTGTGGCTCTGTGCATTTGTGCACCTTATCTCTGTGTACAGTGTTCTTAACCCTGTTTGGAGCTGGGATCCCATGTGTCCCAGGCTGGGCTGGAACTTACGTAGCTGAGGATGACTTTGAACTTCTGATCCTCCTGCGTACACGGGCTGCCATCCAGGTTTATGCAGTGCTGGGGATTGAACACTGGCGTCCCCGGGGTGGGTTGGCCAGTGTTTGTGGGTGCTGCTAACGTGTTTGCTATTGTTGGCGTCACCGTCACCTCCCGTGGTGTGGCTGTCGACAAGGTGACCTGCTCTGTCCCTGGCATTCCTGGGCGCTGCCGCCCCAGCCATTGGCTTCCTTCTCTGCCTCAGTGGCCTGGTGTGGCGCTGACAAGGGTTCAGAGCATCTTCTTGGGGTCCTCCCGCCCGCACCCCAGCCCTGCTGACCCTGCATCCCTCGCCCTTGGGCCCCGGGGGGAGGTGACTGAAAACGGCCCAGTCTTGTAAGAACGCTGTGGACACTGGCCGGGGCCGTGCCGGGCCAGACGTCTCCTTCAGAAAGGTGGCCACCAGCCTTGCGAGGCCCCTCACCCTCATCCCAGGAGGCTGAGGCAGGAGGGCCAGGAGTTCAAGGTCATCTTCAGCTACAAAATGAGTTCAAGGCTAGCTTGGGCTACAACTCGAGACTCTGTCTCAGAAGTAGTAATAATGAAGCAGAAAAAGAAATGTGATGTTGGAGTGACACTGCCCTGTGCCTCAGTTTCCCCATGTATGAGATGGGTAGCCTAGACACCAAGCTGAGCTTGGGGCCTGGCTGCTGGGAACCCAGGTGGCCTGGGTCATCCCGCTTGCCCTTCAAGCAGTAGTGTCCCAGTGTAACCTGGGGTCCTGCAGGGCACCTTCCCTGAGGACCCCCAACTGCTTCCAGGCCACTTGCTGGTCATTTAAGAGAAAACCCCCACCTGCTCCCCCCCTCCCGGCTGGAACTGACCGAGCTTGGGGGCACTGGTGTGGTGTCGGGGCAGCCAAGGCACAGGTGGCATGTGGGGGCAGATGGGTGCGGGGGGCAGATGGG